TCTACATTCCAGATCTTGTTGGTATGATGAGAGCAAACACCTGCACATTCCAGAGCATGTGTACCACCTTTCTTTGTCTTCCTTTAAAACTAGTTTCAGTCCTAATCTGTAAAGTCAAGTTTTTCAATATATGATATTATTTTGTTCACTCCGAACAGATTTTCCTTAATGAAGGAGTTTGAAATTCTGCATATGGCGCTATACTTTATTTCACAGATGGAGACCATTCTTGCATAATCCAAATGAAGCTGAAGTATTAAAAGTATCACTTCCAGAAAGATGACACCCAATGTTTTAAACAACACATCTAAAAGCTTTCATTAATTCAAGGGGTATAACTCTTTGCTCATAAATTCAGACATACCGGCATCTCTTTGTATGAAAATTACAAAAATGTGCACAGTTCATGCATGGACTTGTAAAATGAACCAAACTTTAAAAAACTACAAAAATGTGTCTGAATACACTCTAAAGGTCAGTCCAAACGTAGACCGAACATCAATCTCTTTTTCCAACTGTTTCTTCCTTTCCCTTTCCCCCCCCCCTCCTGCTGCCTCTAGGCCAATTGTAATTCATCAGGCGGTGGCATCCAGAGGAAATGTGTAGCGGGTGAGTGAGGATAAGAGTTTAATCCATCAAACCCCTTCCACTCCCACCTCACAGCTGACTAGACAACTTCTCCCTGGGATTACAAACTCCTGGGGGGGGGGGGGGGTCCAACGTGTAAGCTTCTCGATTCAACACACCCACAGGCTTCTGTTGGAAAGACGAGTCCAACACTCAAAAGACAAATTTAATTTCACATATTTACTACCAAGCTAGTCTAGCCGTGTGTTTAGTATCCTGCAGTGGAATGAGTCAGACTAAATCCAGTCCCAGTGCGACTTCCATCTCTGCTCCTGAGCACATGAATAAATTAGCAAAAGACAATATACAGTATATGTACATCAGAAACTACACCGTGGAGGAGTACTCTTTGCTTTCGGCTTTAAAGGGGCTAAACCATTAACTTTACACAAAGGATTAGTCTGCTCCTCATATAACATACTCTTCTGTCTGTAGTAACTGTGCTTCTTTCCCATATACAGCTACTGTAAATAAACAAAGACAGAAACTGACTGGACATGCCGTGCTATTTTTATAAATATGCAAAAGCTAGCCTTCCCACCGAAACCAATAAAGCACTCTTGTATGTGTTAGTCTCACATTCTTTTTATAGAAATATATGAGTACGAATGTGACCAAACCCTTCCATCCTATTTTCCATCTGCCCTACCTCTTCTCTTCTTTACGTACACTCTCCTTAAGTCAGATAATTAGTGAGCAAACCGGATAAGTAGCTGCCTCTGCTATCCTTTCAATACAGAACCATTGTGTATAAGTCAGGGTTATAAAATAACAATTGCTGGATACCCTGAAGTCAGTACGAAAGTCAGATCCTAAACAAGATATTTAATAACAAAGTAACTTCCCACTCAAGGAAATGCTATCATTATGCAACATGATCTCCTCACTACTCGCTTTGGCAGAAGCCCCAGCCATTAATATTATGAAGCTGATGGGTTCCGCAAAACCAGTCTTTTACAATTTATCCTGAAGCAGAACACCTTACAGTTACAAGTCAACTGGTTAGGAGAAGAAGAAAAAAATAATGCTCAATTGAGCTATGGATAGAGTGACATTAGTAATAATTATTTAGCTTTTGATTTTAAATTAGACATTTACGGCCTGTGTTTTGTTTGATCCATCCACCTTCACCCCTTGCCTGTAACAGACTTAAAAAATATAATGTCTGTTGATTTGATCTAATAATGACACTGATGTGTTTAGATAGGAGTTACATAAAAACCCTGGTTCATCTCATACAGATACTAAAGGGTGCTTGTGCGACTTTATCAAGATGACAACGACTTGAAGGTTGATTGATTACGCCCTGGGAGTGAAAAAAGGTTGTATCATGCAATCTCTGTATTCAATCAAAAGTGAATTGACTGATGGCAAAGGTTTCAAGAAGCCCTCGGCTTTCTGCATTTCAGATGACTCAAAAAAACTGCTGATATTCAGTGGAAACTGTTGATTTATTACGTATTGCATAAACTTAATGGAGGTGTTCCTTCAGCTGGAAGATCTTCTTGTTTACGGTAGCTTTAAACAATCTTGAGAACGATTGCCAAGCCAACAGAGTGTGTAAGAATGTGACTAAACAGAACACCATGTTCACCAATGGGCAGTTTTTCCATTTGCACAAATTCAGATGAAGATTTGTCCACTAAAACCTTGAGTGAACCTGTAAACACTTGCCATTCAGTGAGACATGTGTTTCAATCCCTGTTTACACTGGAAGCTGAGCACAGTTGTATGGTTTAAACATTACACAGGGAGAGCTTTGCCTTCACTGTCAAACACTTCACAGATGCACCCTAAGCCTGCTGTGTCAGGGATTGCACATTTTTGCTTACGAACGTGTCATTGTCAACTCTACACACCCCAAGGCAATCCCATCAAACCGACACAAAGGCCAGACATCCTCCAAGGTGTGTCAACACAGCACAGCGCGTCAAAAACCTCAGACATGCTTTGTAGTACTGATCTTTAATGGTGGTGAGATTAAAGACACTGTGGCAGAGATCTAACTGTTATATCCCGGCAAACAGACACAAGAGGCTGCTCATCTACTGTACACCTGACAGAGCTGAAGCAAAGCCTAAATAACCAGTGTTAGCACCTGGTGTGTGTTTGCTGAACCTGTAAATCAGGACAGGTTTGCACACGTCAGCCAGTGAGCTTTTCAGACTTCTTATCGAAGGAGGAAATCTTGGAGGAGAGCAAAAGGAATTAAAGAAAAGCACTGAAACAAAAAGGACAGATTTATCCTCAACAATGGGGATGAAAAAATGTTGAGTTATTGCCAAGTTTTCTAATTAGCCAGCTAAATATAAGATGGTACTGACCTTGTCTTTTACATAGAGCTGAAAAACAACAATTTGCAGATTCTGTTTATTGCTAGTGGCATGGGGATTTTGCCAAGGAAGTATGGAAGTTGAAGGCTTATGCTTACAGGTCAAACACCACTTTTTCTTTATAAACATTTTAAAGGCAAACAAGAGAACAAGGTGAAGTTTAAAAAATGGCACAGACCACACTGCTAAACTGTCAGTCGACACCACACAAAGCACAAACCAGTGTTTTCTTGGGGTCCTATAACAGAAAAGATTTTCAACATGGAAATCGTGTGTTTCAGTACTTTTTTGGTGGGATTAGCTGTCCTGCTTTTATTCAAACTATGTTGGTGTTCGACTGTGATGTCCCTCCGCCTCCATGAGACTCAAAAGACACACACAATTCTGATTTGACGCCTAATCCTGCAAATCTTATAAATACAGTATAAAAAGTCTGGTATTTATCATGTCTGCTCTAGAAAGAAATTTGATTCCGGTGTTATGAAAATCAAAAACATTGTTCGCAAAAGCAACTTCAAACAAATTATAGACAACAGGATTTTTCTAAACTCCTGCCAAAATACAAAATACACAAAGGAGTTGTGTGTTTATCTTTTAGAGCAATGTAGGATTTTTGACTTTTGAAAAAAAGGAGCAAGTAAATAAACACAAAAAGTGGCCTGCCGATGTATAAACATGTTGATCTGTGTACCTGAAGGGGAAGATATCTGTAAGAGGGTAAAATAAGTTTGGTTGCACACAAAATTGCAATTGTACACCTTAGATTTCTCAGGAAAACAAGATGAGTACGACTGCTGGCTTGTTTTATCATGCCGTACTGTTTTACTTGCACAATAGCCAAAGGCAGACGTGATTGCAGCATAACAGATACTGTATGAGAAGTGAGATTCTGCCGAGCCGTAATCAGTTCCAACATGCTTTCCCCACATGCTGTATTTGATTAGCTATTCCTCTACATCCACACAGTATATTCAGACATCCTCCTGCTCTGTCTGTCAGCCTGGGACTGTTTTGACTGATCTGCAGGCACATGCTCCTTGTAAACATAAGCAGCTGGCTACTATAGTAAATCCCTACATGGTGCTTTGGCAGTGGATGGACATGATCAATCAATATAATCCACTTAACCTCGATGGACGCAGATTACTTCAAGGTTAAACAACCGGATCTGCTGAATGAATTGCCATTGATAAGCCAGTTGGTGATATTAAAACTGTTTCCATTAGCCGTGCCATTAGAGCATTAAGATGTGAGCAGCTAAACCAATCGGGCATCTATTAGTGTGTATTTTCCATGGGTGTGTGTCTTGTAAATTATGATTTAAATGGCGTTTCCTGTTCCCCCTTGTGCGGGAAGCAGGTGGACTTATCTGCGTCCAGCGGGCCACTTTACAGTATCTGTGAACGTAAGCGGATGCACATTAATAGGCAGGAAAGGATTTCGGTAGCAGAAACCAAAACACAATGCAGCCAGGATTTGATGCCGGTAAATACTGTAAAGTCATTATGTCGCCAGAAACGACCCCCCGCTGATTACTGTTTTATAGCTTTAAGGAATTCTTCAAAGACCCACACGGTTCCACTGTGCCACCGTGCCAAGCTCTCCATGTCCCAATGACGCACGACGGGCGCGCGGAGATGGAGGTAAAGGGTCCCCGCGGACAGACAATCAGGGTTTTCTCTTTTACTTTGAAACTTGATTGTTCAGTGAGTCTCTAAACGGCCATCCTGTTACGTCTAAAGATCACTCTTGGTATGTGAAAAAAACACAAGCAAACTTTTGGAAAACCCTGATGCCAAAAAAAACAAGCCAAACAGATAAGTTCGTTTCATAGAAAATATGTAGTTCTTCTAATCTGTTGGTATATTTGTGTAGACGCAAGATAAGGCATCGAAACAATGTGTTATTCGTAAAAACTGCCAATAAACTATATATACATACACCACCTGGATACATCACACTAGATTGTATTATCAATAGAAATATAGTGTGGAACAACAACTCCTCGGTTAACACACTCACACTTAACCGGGGTCTCACCTGAAGCTGCGAGTCCAGACAGGACGGTGAGCAAACAGAGCCCTTTTACGCACATTGGATGGACGGCAGGCTGTCCGATGACAACGAGACCGCAAGTCAACAAACCCACTGAGACTCCTCCGCCGACTCAATGCCTGGAAACCCGGTGGATAATTCTGTGGATCCCCTTAAGAGAGGGATAACAACGTGTAGTTACACAGTGTCCTCTCCTCCACCTATTCTCTCCAAAGACGCGTCCCAACTCGCCGCTGCGCTCATACATCTCATTTCAGCACCCTCCCACCACATTTTCGGGCGGAGTAACAAAGTCATTTATCTCTCTCTCTCTCCTCCTCTCCCTCTCTCTCTCTCTCTCTCATCCCTCTCATCCTCTCTCCTCTCTCTCTCTTCTCTCTCTTTCTCCTTCTCCTCTTCTCTCTCTCCTCTCTCTCTCTATTCCCCTCTCTCTCTCTCTCTCTCTCCTTCTCGTCTCTCTCTCTCTCCGTCTCTCTCTCTCTCCTGCTCTCTCCCACCTCCTCATTCTCGTCTCGGGGATCGTCTCTCTCTCTCTGCCGCTCTCTCTGTCTCCCCTCATCTCTCGAGTCATTCGCTTCGGTCTCTCCTCTCATCTCCAGTCCCTGCTCTCATCCCTTCTCTCCTCCCTCTCTCTTCTCCTCTGACACACACACATCACCACACACACACGAACACGCACGTTATACTTAAGACCCGCACATTCTTGACTGTCACCAAACCTGTTCTGCTGCTGCGTAAAAGCCGTAACGTTCCATACCACATCTGTTGCGTTAACACATCCGTATTAAAGAGAATCTAAAACATCCAATGTATCATCTTATATTCTGTAAGTAAGACATTTGAGGCATTGAATTCCTCTTGACATAATAATGTCATATAATATAATTACATATTATAACTTAAATGTGTAGGATGATTGGGACGTTAGCTCTCCTTAACTCCTGGATCACAATGAACTCATTACAATTATTATCTAATCGTCAAATTCAATTAAAAAGTCAATTAATTAATCTACTGAATTTGTCAGAGATACAATATGGTTACAGTGGAGGGCTTTGTCCACATGTAAAACACAAGAAAGAAGACTGGTTGGACTGCCTTCACTGTGAAACAAACAGTGATAACTTCATTTCAGAAGTTATTCTCCCTCCTGGAAACTAGCAGAAAGTTGGACAGAAGTTTTAATACCAACTGGCTTGTTATTTTTTTGAACCACATGGGGGCAGAGCTGCACTTTGATGTCTGTGATTTTACCCTGAAGCCTGTCAAGAAGATCAGAACCCTGCTACTCAGTTCCTAACTGCAAGTGACTGTAGCATAACAGTGCATACAATTGCAATAAAGTACATTTATTGTTAAGTTAACTCCACACATTTCTGATAGTCAAACTAAAAAAGTCTCAAATGTTTAATACCATAATTGTGACCTGCAGATATTTGAAATTGTTTAACTGCTATATCAACTTTATAATTTGCAAATAGGGTCATGAAGTTTGATATAAAATACAAATTAAGATCTGAGATAAAACCAAGAGTATTGTATATTATTTAACAGTTAGTAATTGGCATTAAAAATAATAATAGTCTGACTGTATACATTACTCAGTAAAGCTCATGATTAAGAACCAATCAGAAATCAAAAACATAGTTTATTTCCATACAACATGCTCATTAAGTTTGACTTCATTTTGAAGTCTCAACAAGAATTCATCTTGAAAAAACACTTCCTGTGGGGGGCAGTGTGTGTGTGTGTGTGTGTGTGTGTGTGTGTGCGTGCGTGCGTGCGTGCGTGCGTGCGTGCGTGCGTGCGTGCGTGCGTGCGTGTGTGTGTGAGAGAGAGCGAGAGGGAGAGCTAGAGAGACAGCGACAGAACAAGACGGAGGGTGAACAACCAAGTCTACTTTTATATAATCTTTTTGGGCTTATTGCATGAGAATCTGGATGTTTTCTTATATATTGTAGTGGATACATCAACAAATCTGACCTATAGAGCAGAAACTCTAGAAACAGTCCAAAAAACAGAGGTTGTGTGAAGAAGATGAGCAGCATGTGTGTTCGGGCCGCGCTTGCAGTCCTCCTCCTGTTCATAGCTACCGTTGAGGCTGGTGAAGGTAAATATCAGTTGTAAATTATATTTTATTTTATTTTACTTAATATTTCAAAGTTATAACGTTTCAATATATTGGTCTGCATTTCGGAACAACAGACATTCTGACAATAAATATGACGGTTAAGAGCAACTTCTGCAATTTCCTGTATTTCCTTGCTACTTTTCTTTGTTTTACATCCTACTTCTTTCTTTCTGATGATTTGATTGACTTGTGTTGTTATGTATTATGCTACTTAGTTGCCTGTTTTGCTTATTTTTGTCCTTTTCTTGTGGGCTGTTATTTAGGACATTTCAAGCTTTTTATAAAACATTAGCAGGATTGAATGCACACTAAAAGACCAAATTCTTCATATTTATATAATGTGAGTTGAGTAGAAACCAACCTCAGCTCTCTGATAGTAATAATTTCACCCTGAAAACAAATAAGGAAGAAGGGTCCAGATGAAATGAGAAAAAAACTAAAACAAGTGCACTGAAGCCAACTTAATATCTGTATCTGTGTTTTAAGGAGGAGTAACATTCTGGGGAGAAGAATTCACAATGACCTGTCCGGAAAAAGGGTATTTCAACAAACGAAACAAAACTATACTAAATCAAGGAGAAATGCAGCTTACACTCAAGTATGATGACACAACCAAAGGCTTACACCACTGCCAATATGAAGAAAGTCCTGAAAATAAATATTATTTCTACGTGAGGGGAAAGAGTGAGTGAAACAAAATAAAAAATAAAAATGTCTCATGATGTGCCATCTGTGTTAGTTGTCCTTAATGCTGCTCTTTGTCCTCTAGCTTGTACAAACTGCTTTGAGGTGGACGCAACTCTGTTTGGGCTGGCCATTGCTGCGGACGTGGTGGGGACGGTAATTGTGATGATCATTATCTACAGGTGCACCAAGAAGAAAAGCTCAACTGGACCCCCTCAAACTTCCAAAGGTAAGAATCCACCCAAGCATGTTTCATTACTTCAGTTAATGGTTAGCTGATGTCCCTCGGACTTAAGCTTTAATCTTGCATCTGAGTGTTGATTTTTCAGTAAGACCTATCTGCACTGAGAAATAGGATTAAAGACTATTCATGCAGCTACAATGCAAATCTTATTTCAGTTATTATAAGCATAGTATCAAATCTGGTGTGGGTTTCCCTCACTTACTCATACTTTGTCTGTAAGCATGCACAGTCGACTATAGAGAATTCATTTTAGGTGTGTACTGGGTCTGATAGCACAAGTGATTTTAAATATATTTATTTCTGTCCTCCTCGTATAGCACCTGCTCGTACAGGAGGCCGGGCTCCACCTGTCCCATCTCCTGACTATGAGGTACGTTTTGTATTTGCACTCGATTTTCAGATGCATTTAACACTTGCGTCTTCTCTAGAGGGACAACAAATTATCACAGCCAAAGTCTTCAATGTTTTAATTATACATACAAATATGACGTCAGACAGTGTCCAGTGTCATTGCAAAAGAAACATTTAAAAATAAATTAGAGCTTATTTTACAGAGCATTATTTTTAATCCTTTCATTTAGAAAAATATTAAAGAATAGATAATAGGGTGCTATGGGTGGTTAGCGTAGCTTAGCATAAAGAGTCAGAGCAGGAAATCAACTAGCCTACCAGCACCTATAAAGCTAACAGAATATTTCCTTTGTTTAATCTGTACAAAAATGAAGTCTAGAAACGCAACAATGTGGCTTTTATAATAGTCCAGGAAGTCACAATTCAGGCCAAGAAATAGTCCAGCAGGTAACTCATCGTAACATCGTAAGTGAATATACTGAACAAAATGTAAAATGTTTTTATTTTTAGTTTATTGTCCCTGGAAGCCATGTGTTACTATGGTTATCAGTTTTCTTCTGCATTGTGATCCTACCATCCTAAAACAAAAGTGTTTTACACATTATTAGGAATATCTTGACCCTGTGATCGAGCTAACGCTGGTTATGTTGTGTTTTGCAGTCTCTGAACCCTCATACTCGCTCCCAGGACCCTTACTCTGTGGTGAACCGGATGGGATAGAGACAGGTCACCTGACTGCAGCAGGTTGAGGCAGACATTCACAAAAGACATGCATGAACATCTGTCATGCTACGGAAGCCGGCAAACACTGGTTATCGCTTTCCTGGATTCAAGGGGTCGCTGAACCCAAATCATAGCCAAATATATTCCCACTTACTCCTAGTCACTGTAATATGTCCAGGTGTTCTGCCCCATCATGGTACATTACAGGTGAAAATAATGTAACTTGTTGCGTTCACAGTATGTAAAAAGGTAGGCAGAAAAATACGTCCTGGTACGTCTTTCTTTATATATGTTGCCTTATATGATCAATTACCAACCAAAATGTAAAATAAAAATGAATTTATGAAATAATAATAGGATATTACCGAAATGTAAACACAAAAAGAGGGTAACAAAAGTTTTTGATGCTACTCTTCCATGTATTTATTGTCATAATAATCCATGAACTCTTCTAACTGTCTTGTTGTCACCAAGTGTGACAATTGAGAGTGCATGAGTAAAACGTGAGTTTAAATGCAGACTTGACTGACTACTAAACAAAAAAAGGCATAAAACGCATCAACCTTGTATACTTTGTAAATACTACTAAATCAATCAAACGTAATACTACTGAAAAGTCTTCACGTCTATCCCCTACAGTACGTCTAAAGCAATTGAATGAAGGGTCACTTGAGTAAATGTTTTGGATTTTGGTTATAAATGTAATCTTTTAAGAAAGCGAGCAACAACAATTCCAATCATGTCTAATGTGCGGAAGCAGACATCGAAAGAAAAGATAAAACCAAAACGATTTGCTTGGTTAGGCAGCTTCAGAGGTTAGCGTGTAAACAGGTTTGACTTTTAAATATACATGATATACCTAGTTTTTTATGCTTATGTTAATTAAATGATATGTTAAAGCATTGAGGTAGTTGGTAATGCTGCACTGGACTGCCTTGTATTCCAACCCAGTCTCACGGCATTTCGTGTTAATCTTACAGATTAAAATTAATTTAATCTATTGATTCGTGTTCACCAACACGATTTTCGCATTTTTTTCGTGTCACACAGAACGATTTTAAATGCAATGTATTTCTATTGGTAGTATGTTTTGTGCCTGCAACACGTCTTTTTGTCCGGTCGGGTCTTGGAAGACCAGAAGCTGTGTGGTTCATAAAAACATGTTCTTACTCAATATCTTACCCTAAGCCTAACCCTATCCCTTTTATTGTAAATTGTATAATGTCTGAGTTTTTTTGCCGTCAGTGAGGTAAAGAAATGGGGCTCAGAGCCTCAGAATACTGAAATCTGTATTTTTTTAAATGTCTTTTTCCTTCTAATTTGTTATTATTTACATTGCTTTTAAAATCGTTCTGTGTGACACGAAAAAAATGGCGAAATCGTGTTGGTGAACACGAATCAATAGATTAATTTCGTGACTATAACACGAAATGCCGTGAGACTGTGTTGTGTATTCAGATGTGTTTCAAATATTCCGACCCCTCTTGATTTTTAACAGGAAGGACAAAGAATACAAACAAAATCAAACAAAAAAAATAAACATAGAAGTGTGTACTGGGTTGCATTAGATACAGGTGTACCTCATAAAGAAGCCCCTGAGTGTAAATATATGTCTTCATATGGTAGGCCTACTTATCTTTTAATATAAACATATTATTTACAATACTGTAAAATACAAAAAAAAATCATTTTGTCATTTCAAATATAGAGATAGTATATATATATACTATACGTTGTTCTTGTATATAATCTATGTTTATGCAATCATAGGTTCTGACTAGCAAATAATGTTGGTCACACGTGTAAAATGTTGGTGCACAAACTCATTTTACTCATCTATTCTGCTTTTGTTTTTATGTCCCTGCTACTGTAATTACACTGTACTGTGTCACTAATAAATAATTCACACCCAACTATGTTCTCATTTCCTTCTGTGCAAATGTTTAAAAACAATTTCTCGGATGCTTCTTCAGAAATAACTACATCCGATTCACGAAACGGTCTAAAAACCGCAGCTCATATCCGTAGCCCACCCACATGTACACCATCACTATCGATATGTTTTCATGGCTAGAGTCTCTCTCATGTGAGTGACATACCTGACTGTCTTCGGAAACATCTGAAATATGTCTGAAACTTGTCTCAATGCATAAACAGGATTTTCATACCAATAGTGCACATAATGGAAATGTTGTGTCATGATTTGGCCTTTTTCCCGGCAGTGACTGAGCAAATGAAACTCGGAAATATGATGTATGATTTCTTATTAAGGCAGACGACTAATGATTTGATACGCTTGTTATACACCATGCAGCTCTGAGGTATGGTGTTTAGTGGAAACACTCCCACACTCACTGCTCAGTTATCTTCAATCTAACATCAGCTGTGTGTTTGTGTGAGAGAGAAACAAAGAAATGGGGGTTGTCGGTGCACCTCTATGTTGCTGCTTTAGTTCAGTCAAACCGCTCCCACACACAGACCTACATCTGCTTCACAGTCACGTACGAGCATACACAAGTTTGCACGTGTGTTTGAAAGTGTGTGCACATGCATTGAGTCTGAAGTTGTGTGTGTGTGTGGGGGGGGGGGGGATTGTGTTTCTGAGCAGAGCTGTCTAAGCTTTGTTGTTTGATCTCTCGTCTCTTCCTCAGGTAAAAAGAAGCTGCAGTATGTAGCTTTGTTACAGCAGTGTCAAGAACAAGGCAGAAAACACCGAGCAGCGATCAAAGAATTTAAACTATAAGATTATCTGACATGGAGGGGAGCTTCCTCTTGATCAGATAGTCTCTGCTCCTCTCTTTCACCATACCCGCTCTTCTCTTTACTCTTGTTATGTAATTTTTTCCATCTCTCAATGTCACAACATCTACTCTCCTTTTCATATAGTTTCTGCTACAGACAGAAATAGACCTCTGAAGACTCTCGACCTTACAGGATAGTTATGAAACACTAGTGTTGTAGCACTTTTTAAAGGTCTTGGTCTTGTCTCGGAATCGACTGCATTTGTACTCGGTCTTGTCTCGTTCTCGGACCTATAGAGTGGCGAAGTCCCTCCCCTTCCGGTTGAGCCCCATGGGACCTTATTTCGGAAAAGTTATGCATTGAAGTCAATGGAGAGAGAAAGATTATCTTTCGATCCCGTTTGAATTGTGCCACGAATTACACATATGATGTTTGTCAATTTAAAAGATAATTTTGCGAGTCAAAAAAAAAAAAATGTGTCGTAAAACTGTGAAGTAACACATTTGTTTGTGTGAAACGCTCAATGAACTACATCTCTGGTCAACAACACACGTCATCAAGATGGCCGTCACTACTGTCTTGTCAACACAACGATTGACTATCCTCACTATCACCACAATGAAACACGTCCTGAAGAATGTCATGCAAAGCTGCCTGCCTTCCTTCCTTTGATTCTCTCTGAACTGCCTGGTCGTTTTAATGTTTAATGTCAACCATTTGTGCAGATAGCATGAAGTAGAGAAGATCGCCGATGCTAACGTTAGCGTTAGCATTTCTCCCCCGGGCTTAAATGGTGTAGAATGATCACACCGGTGACAGTACTATTCAAAGGGTTCACGAAATATGACTACTACTCTTACTGTTTAACATTTTGGGTTACTTAATGTTACTTCATGTTAAGGCTAATAAAAATGACAAGGCTGTAATGCTAACTAACGTGCTAGCTAGCTTGATCCACACACTCCTCTTTCATCAGACGGGAAGCGAAAGAACGAGCAAGACCCATTGCTGGTATAACAACCTGGTATTAAGCACACAGGCATCTTGTGAAAGTTATCTTATCTTAGCCAGCGCCATATAGATAGATTCTATCTATATGGCGCTGATCGTATATATACGGTATTATACGTATATCGTAGTGTCTCAATTGTGACATCACTTACGCGACTCTGGGATTTGTAGTCTTTCTAGTTGCGTATTTTTCATAGTCTTATATTTCAACAGTTTTACGACAAACTGTGACTTTTTTGACATGGAAATTATTTTTTAAGATTGACAAACATCATATGTGTAATTCATGGCACAATTCAAACGGGATCGAAAGATACGTTTTCTCTCCCCATTGACTTCAATGCATAATTTTTCCGAAATAAGGTCCCATTACCCGGAAGTAAGTGGGCGTGACTTCGCCACTCTATAGGACTGGAGATTTTATGTCAAGACAGGTCAAGAGCACGGCTGTGGCTGGCGGATGTGATTGGATGTAAAACGCCCTGTTTCAAATGCCACCAATAACGTGACTAAACTGACTTACTTTTAAGCACTCAAGAGACTCCAAATCTTTGCGCTCATGCGCCGCAATGTTTGTAAACATGGGACTGGTCTATAACGGCTGTTCTCCCCACCCTGTTCCCACACACTCAAACAGTCTTTTTATGATGATGTTGGGATATTTGAGATAAAATTGACTATGGTATCTTCCACATTTTATTGTAAGTGTATTGTGTAGTGTTGGATTCACACTAGTCTGGTTCCGGTCTTGATTCGGTCTCTCCCGGTCTTTAAGTAAAAGTACCAAATAAACCAACAAAAAATACAGACATTAAAAGTAAGAAAGACACAAATGAAAGCTCCTTCTTATTTACAAGTACAGATTATCGTCAAAATGTACTTAAAGTTATCATCCATAAGATTGTAGATCTGCGGACACCTGTGCTTACAGCTGGCAACAGTGAGGCTGCAGGAAAATGGTGGACTCCACCACTGAAAAAGCAGCAATGAAAAATAGCAAAACTGGGTTGGACTTCTTGGAAATCTTGAGGATTTTAACTTTAAAGTATCAAAAATAAAAATGAAAATAATTTGGAGGAAATATATATATATATATCACAATATTAGATGAATACTGGTGCATTTTACTGTAGCTGATCAAGGCTGAGTTTGAACTATACTGTCATAGGCAGTTTGGTGTTGCAGTATAATATTTTTCAAAAACTTTTCTCCAAATCTTTTAATTTGTGAAACATTGGATGATTAGACATATTTGAGCTGTGTAAAATATTTTAAAAAACCATCTGAGGGGTTTTAGAGGGGAAATGTTTTTTTGTGGAGGTGTGAACAGCTTTCTTGACACCAGAAACGTGACAAGGCGTTACAAGTAGACTTTTTTATAAGAGGCCCACAAACCAAACATGGTGGGAGCCATGGTGTTAAACTTAAACAGTGTGGTAAAATGTCAATCTCAAAAGCGACAAGTCACGCTTGACAAATAAATATAGGGCTTGGTGTTAACGTCTGTATATTTTTGACGAAATAAATATTGTACCTAACTGAACCTGTATCATGGTACAAGAGCTTACCTGGGTTAACCCTTGTGTGGTGTTCATATTTTTGTTACTCAGCCAGTGTTCGTGGGTCTGGTGGACCCGCTGCCTTTTTGGGCTTCAATTCAACACAATCAAACTTTTTTATGTTAAAATACTCAACAGATGTTTACTTAATCTCAATTACAAGCAAAATAAACAGCAAATATGGTTAATATTTGCCTTTTACATTTGTTAGATCACATTAAAGGTGGGGTAGGTAAGTTTGAGAAACCGGCTTGAGATACACTTTTTGTTATATTCCATGGAATGCTCTTAACATCCTGATAGCAATGAATATCTCAAGTGCTTTGACAAAAAATCCATAAAAAGTGGAAGCCGTAGTACTGTAAAAAGCACGACCAATCATTTTAGCCGGCTCGGCTAAAATAACTGGATGGCCTACCTGCCTGTCAGCCTTCCATCTGTGCACAAACTTACTGTATCTCGTGCCCTCATTGGTCATGTGCGCGTTCGTGTGTGTTGGAGGAGGGGCTCTGTAAGGAAGTGGCAGATTTTTTCCGGTTGTGTATTTTCAAATTCTAGCGATCTCGAGCTGGTTTCTCAAACTTACCTACCCCACCTTTAATGAATTAAAGTGCTACTAAATAGTTCTCTCTCTTCCAGAATCATTTGCAAGGCCCTCTGAGCAGATAATCTTTTGGCCATCTTGATCAGTTGTGATAAGGACCCAAACTGGCGAAGCTTTATTTAATGTATCCTGCTCCAAATTTGCAGCTGGGATAGGGTGTGAAAAAAATAAAGATTGGTTCCCTCAAAACAGAATGCGGGAATGTGAGAGCAGACAGGTGTCGGTGCTTTACTTTATCATCAATGTTGCAACCTTGTGCGGGAATGGCAGGGGCAGAAACACAAAAGTCTCACACACACACACACACACACACACACACACACACACACACACACACACACACACACACACACACACACACACACACACACACACACACACACACACACACACACACACACACACACACACACACACACACACACACACACACACACACACACACACACACACACACACAGGACCTAAAATGTCCACACTGTTGGAGTGACCCGAACACCCTGTATGTAATGTAAATGTGTAGGGGGGGGGGGGTACTTTGGGTGGTCATTGAAAATGTGTTCTGATATATGTTCTTCATAGAAAATAAGCCAAGGCCATTGAGTGTGGGTTAGAAAAAATAATTTGTCATATAATTTTTCTTTAGCTAAATAATGAAAACGGCTCATTTACAGGTTCATTTTTGTACTTAGCGCCTCTACTGTGTCAAGTCTCCATGCTTTATGTTCAAAAAGGTCTTTTTCTCATAGTGCCGGTACTGCAGCACCTCTTTTCAACCTCTGTCTGAAACCAGAGCCCAGTCTGCTCTGATTGGTTAACATTCATTAGGGATGTCACTTTGTTACAGAAGTAAACATAGGCGTCCAATCGAGGTGTTACAGGCAGGGTGGGAGTATGTGGGAGAGAAACCCCCTCAGGAGGGAACTTTGAGATGTTAGCCTTTGTAGACCATTTACATGCACCAAAACCTATATGACACAGTACAAGAAAGGGAATACCCCAAAAAGCATAATAAGGCCTCTTTACTTTGTTACTTTCTAACACTTTTGACTGACAACATGACAAGACCACACTTTTCTTCTTAATTTTTTTTTATTTTGCAATGTCACTTTTGTTTCAATGAACATGTTCAAGCCGTACTTACAGTATGGAGAGAGGAAAACGTAAAAACTATTTAAATTAAAATCTTATCAAAATAAGAAGAGAGTCTGATAAACACCTGCCTAAGACATACAGTGCCATTCAGGTCTATAAAGAGCAATATCTTACAGGCGTAGTTAAATGTTGAGTGGAAAGCTATAACAGCATCATTCAGAGCAAATTACATGAGGGTAATACTTTTCCCTTCTGCAGATGTAAGCTTTTAATCGGGGGGGGGGGGGTTGACCACAGCCCCTTCTATCTTCTGCGGTTCAGCTCATCATACGTGTCTCTCTGGCGAGGTTTCAGAGCCTGAGGAAGGAACGGCAGAGTAAAGAATGAGAAGGGACAAAGACAAAGGTGTCTTTCATCATTTTATTCAATAACATGTTAATTGACATCCTTGCACATTTGAGATTACCTGGTAAGGATCATTGGATGCCCCCCCTCTGGCAGCATTTGGAACAAGATGCTGTCTGTCAGAGCCTGGGGATGAATGTATTGATACTATTAATATAAACAATTAACAAGTGACAAACAGATGTTCATCTAAATCATATCTAAGTTTTGTCATAAGGTGTATTCGTGTCATTTAACAAACTGATATTTTTGTCATATAAAGTCAGTATACTGCTATCTGTTTGTACCGTTATTGAAGTTATTCATTTGTATATTTACTTTTACAGACAGACAGACAGACAGACAGACAGACACAGACAGACAGACAGACACAGACAGACACAGACAGACAGACAGACAGACACAGACACAGACAGACAGACAGACAGACAGACACAGACACAGACAGACACAGACAGACAGACAGACAGACAGACAGACAGACAGACAGACAGACAGACAGACAGACAGACAGACAGACAGACAGACAGACAGACAGACAGACAGACAGACAGACAGACAGACAGACAGACAGACAGACAGACAGACAGACAGACAGACAGACAGACAGACAGACAGAGACAGACACAGACAGACAGACAGACAGACAGACAGACAGACAGACAGACAGAGAGACAGACAGACAGACAGTTTACTTTTCTTGACAGAGGTAGTTGGACCAATCTGAGTCTTAGATGCAATGATATAGACTGCCACTCCTATCACGATCGTAGCCACCAATTCTCCTATAGCTAATCCCGTTATTGTGGCCATGTCAAACTCCACGCAGTTGTCACAGGCTGGACAAACACACAAACAGAAGAAAAAAAATTACGAAGTGTGATTAATCATTACTGTCAAGAAATACTGCAAAAATACAGCTGAAATGCGAGCCATACAAGTAGAAAAGGGGACAGAAAATGTACAAAATGTGATGAAGTACTTACTCCGAAATTTCACATAGATTGTTTCCCCGCACCATTCATACTCTCCGGTGTTCTCATCCTTGTAATCCAAAGACATTTCTGATGGTGTGACACCACAGGAAACCTTAATCCGATCATGGAGACTGTCAACTTTTATCTCAGTGGCTGTAGTTTTCTTATCTTCATTACAACTGACAGGGGCTGTGGGAGACATTTGGAAAAACACATGAGGTAATTAACTTTAATGAAACTGGCAAACACTCTAAATAATAAAATATTACTTTTTTATCAAAAATCTAAATCTGAAAAGTTGCCTACCTGTCAGCGTCCAAAGCAGCAGCAAACATGCAGGTACAACTAAATGACTTTTCATTGTGTGTTCCTCTGTTCTGCTGATGACAAACGGAAATAGTTAGATGTGAGTGAGAGAAAGCATGCAACAGAAAACAGGAACTGCGCCATTTTCTGATCTCCGTCATCCATTTTATTCGATTTATTGTAACAAATAACTGATGATTAAAAACAACATAGGGTGCTACCGCAAGAGATTATTTTTGTTAATTTATAATACAAATGTTGACTTGGCTTAAATTAATATTACCTAAGTACATTGTAAAATGTTTTCCCTATAAGAAAACATGCACTGGTGCACGACATAACCTGAATGAGTTGAAACATAAATTATTAGAAATATTAGAAAGCAAATACAGGACATTTAATAAGAAAAGGTACAGACCTTGAAATAAAGTTGTGCCGTGTCCCTGCTGCCAAAGCATCCAGTTTCTGTCTATCGAAGTCTCACAGTGTGTGTGTGTGTGTGTGTGTGTGTGTGTGTGTGTGTGTGTGTGTGTGTGTGTGTGTGTGTGTGTGTGTGTGTGTGTGTGTGTGTGTGTGTGTGTGTGTGTGTGTGTGTGTGTGTGTAGGAAGTGAGTTTGATTGGTTTATTTTCCGTCTCAGTCTTTGTTGACTTCTACATCTGTGGGACTCCATGTCTCTATGAGTTCCAGCATGCAACAGCATACATTTACTCAGTACTTCTACCAGGGTTGGAAATAAACAAGTCATGCTTAACCCACCAGCTTAAGAAATATATATAATCTATTTGTTTAGCAGGAGAAAAACAAAAAGTTAGTATTTCTTCTACTCCACCAGAATTCAGAGGGAACATTGTCGTGTTTATACAATTAAAAATGTTTGACATCTGCAGTTACTAGTCAATTTACAAACTACAATTTTACAATAAAAAATGTGATGAGCTTTTATCATAAAATGTACAATATAAAAGAATAAACTACTCAAAAAACAATATATGGCAAGCTTAAAAAATGCTCAGAATTGACTAACTGCAACAAAAAACTGCTACCTATACATTATTGCACCAGTCTCAATACTCGTATAATATATAAATATAAATAATAAATAAATAATATAAAATGATCGGACATGAGACATTTATTAGTCATTTTTTGTTATTTGCTTAGACTTACAACCTTGTACTTGTGTCACGTAGTGCACGATTTTTACTTTACAACCCTTTACAGCAACTTTCAGTCAAAATAATTATCTGAATATTGAATTCATTTCAATTCATTAATTTAAACTATTTTTTATGTTTGGGGAATTTAAAGTTATCACAATTATGGAAACTTGTGATTAATTAAAACATGTAAGCATCTTCTCAAAGCGGCTTCGACAAGACATCCTGAGTGAGGAGAATAAAGTCACTGCCAGCCATGTATTAGCTGAAATGACAGATCAGTAAACTCGGCTTGCTACTGGCTTTTGAAGGTTTGTGGAGCAGCTGCATCTTGTAAAACAAAGATACAAACACAAACATGTGTGTTCAGATTAATATTTGAAATCCCTGTTTGTCCCGCTGCGTGAGACAGACTACGTTCCCTGTTCAGCACAGAAGAAGCAGCAGAGAGAGAGCAAAGAGATGCTCCCACAACACAACGCTGCTTCCTGTCAGAAGCAAAGCCACAACAACCTGACCTAGAGCAAACACCTGGCGCGCACACACACACACACACACACACACACACACACACACACACACACACACACACACACACACACACACACACACACACACACACACACACACACACACACCACACACACACACACACACACACACACACACACACACACAACACACACACACACACACACACACACACACACACACACACACACACACACACACACACACACACACACACACACACACACACACATTCTTTCTCTTGCACCTGCTATTGTAAAGAAAAAAGAAAGCAACGTGTAATTTTCGTTCTTAACCGAATGCAACCATACTTTCATTATCACACAACACACACTCATTTCTAGCACCATATCAAAAACACACATCACCCTCATCACAAGTCCTCCATGTTTTCCCGCTTTTAAAGCAACTTAGAGCGCCCCCTGGTGAGTCTCAGCAAAACCCCAGGCCTAGCATTTACTTCATACAATATCTTTATTAGACGTCCTCTTTTATACACATATACATATGCATACAAATATACAGTACAGTACATGACATGTTACATGTCCATATACAAATACATTCTCTATAAATATGTTCCATCTTATTTAGAGATTATTGGTCAGTTTGTAAAATCTCACATACAATATATTATCTCAGGACATTCTGGTGTTAGCATAGAACAATTAATGCATTCAGAGGGGAGGAGGACATCATAGGCATGTGGTTACAGGAGGAAACATGTTGAAACATACAGGATATGTATCATTTTATGTAGATTTTAAACTTTGCAATGTTAAGACAACACATCAGAAGTATATGGACCAGAGCTCTCGGTTCAGAGAGATTACAACAACATCCAGTTTAGTTTTGTGAACCTTAAATTCAAGTTATTGGATAAACTTGAGTAACAGTGTTGGTACGGTATGTGATACACAAAGATAGTTTCTGATGATTGGTTGAATGACTGCAAGTTGCTATGGGTTCCCTCTTGGACAGCTGCATCGTTAGACGTAGTTATGCATGCATGTAAAGTATGTGTGCGTCTGTGTGTGTGCATGTGTGTATTTGTAAATGTGCGTGTGTGTGTGTGTGTGAGGTCAGTCAGAGCCAGATCTCCTCACTGCTTTTGCTGTTCACCTTATAGATGTAGCCCACCATCGGATATCTTGCAAAACCTGGAAATCATGGAGAGAAGGGGGAAAGCATTCAGAGTGAACACAACCAAATAAAAACACTCACCGCTGTGTCTCCACGCAGAATGTGGAGTATTAATGATGACAAATGCAACAGCAGTGTTGAGCTGTATTTCCCTGACCTCTGGCGGCGTAGGCTAAAGACAGATCTTCCTCCTCCTCTTCCTCTTTCTTCTTCCCTCCCATACCGTTCTGCTGGGTGGCCTCTCGGGCTTCCATAAGTGCTGCAAGTAGGATGGAGGACACATCAAAATGCAAAAGAGATACATCGCTGAGTTTGGAGGGATAGTTTTAGGGAAACACGTACTTACTGCAAGATAAATAAGAGGTTTGCTACTACTTTTCTTGAGATTAGTATCGATATCTTAATCTAACTCTGGGCAAGTAAGTGTCATTTACAAAATGTCAAACCATTTAGCAGTGACAGCTTTTATCCAGCCTAGTGGAACCAAATGTATTCTTCCTCACACCTATATATAATCCTCATGCGGTCATTTTAAAAACAAGACAATGTTGTTTGGACTTATTGCATCCTTTGAACATTGAATCTCATCTGATTGTTCCAGGTCACAATCAGATGCATAGCAGACAACATACGAATTGTTGAATACATGTTGAATTGAATGCTTGCCTGTCAAAAAAAAACTATTTTTCATGTTTAGCTGAAATCCTATACAATTACTAAGAAACTCTATGAGCTATAACAACAATTTTCCCTATAAGAAAGCTCCATTTTTCCACATACCTCATAACAAGAATTGTGTCCGCCATTGATCGCAATTCACACCAAAATGGGTTTGTCAGAAATGTTTGTGTTGTCAACTTTCTTTTTTGCATACATTGTAAGAGGATGAAGAACTAAGCAATGGTTGTAAAGACACCTGGATTATGTGTATTAAGTAGTAGCAATTGATTGACTGATGTTTTAATTGAGCTAGCTTTCAGACTTTTGACCCTAACTTTCACACTTGTGAGAAATCGACAAAAAACATAGCATACCATCTCATGAGTTCACTGATTGTTATTATTTGAACAGTAAAACAATTGTAATGTTTCTAAAAAGGAATTGTCACATAATCCATATCAATATATGTTGTATTCTACATATACAGATACTTAAATATCTTAGTTGTTCCTGCCTGAGTTGAAGTTTTAACTTACAAAGCTGTAAATAGGTACCTTTTCTCAAAGTGTTGAGGTCGTTGAGCTGCATGTTGGAAGGCAGAGACATGTTCTCTCTGGGGATTTTGGTCTTAACTTCTTTCTCTACCTTCAGATTGGCAGAGTCACTGTGGCGGAAATATGAAGGAGAGATATACAACTTGGATTAGACGTGATATTGGTCGACTCTACAGGATAGACATCAAATATTTATTAGAGCACAAATATGCTTTCATGTGTGTTTTCCTTCCAAATACACTGACGATGCTGACAAAGTAATCATGAGATGAGATGAGAGAGTAAGTGTGTAATTTATGGTAAACTATGCTAACCCCTCACTGGCTGTAGTTTCATATTTAGTGTACAGACTATAGACTAGACATGGGACTCAAGTCGTTGATCTTAAGCAAGTCACAAGTCATTTTCTTCTTTTGCAGGTCATTAGTTGAGGCAAGTCAAATCAAAAGTCAAGCCACTAGCCCCCTAAATAAAAAATGTTAGAGGAACATCCAGCCACTTATTTCATCTTTTTCTTTATGGAAGAAAAGCCAAATGTCAGACCACATATTTTGTTTGAATTACAATTAAGTTGGATTTAAATGGGGGTCAAAAAGAGACAGTGGGTGTTTCTCAATCGCGAGTACGCTTGCTTGGTAGCACATGTCTGCCGAGCATCTTGCTTCAGAAGCGAGTCAAGAATACTTCCTGAGATTCGGAAAACAAAGAGTGGAACAGGCTAGCTAGTGTGCAGGTGTGCGTCATATGAGAGGCCCCGCCTTACATTTTCCGCCACAGATTTGGGGAAATTGGTCCGTGCGCAAAGCATTGTGGGGATTTTAAGACCGCGAAGTCTACACATGTGCAGCCTCGATATTTCTCCAAACGGAGTACGCCGGGCTCTGTAGATTTCCAAGTATGCTGGAGATTGGAACAGTACTTCGGCGGCACTCGATGACGTAGTATGCTTGAAATAGTGGCTCTGAAGCAGCTTTACTCGCGATTGAGAAACACCCAGAGTCTACAATTACATATCTATTTAGTGGTTTCCATCCATCTAGTTGGCTTGCTTTGCTCTCCATTCTTATTATGTTGGTTGGTTCACACACATATCCAATGGCAGATTACTTTATTTACCTTTTCTTTGTCATCAAAATCTCCACTGGCTCATCTGTAACACAATACAAGGAAACGCATCATCAAGAGCAACGGACAATGCTCCAGTCACACATTTGTCGACCTCTACAAAAACAAAAACAATCTTACCAAAGGATTTGCTCTTGTTTTTTTGCATAAGGCAGAGAACAATCAGACTGAGGATGAGGAGCGCCATGAAGGCCATGGCTCCCCCCGTCACTATTCCCAGCATGGGCACCTCCACACGAGACTGCAGGAACTCTGGAGAAAGAAGGAAAGAGCGTGACTGGAATAGTTTGACATTTTGGGGACTATGGGGGGTTATTTGTTCTCTTACAAAGAATATAAATAATATGTATGATGAAGCTGCAGCTAAGGAAACAGTTAGCTTAGGCAAGGCAAGTTTATTTATAGAGCACCTTTCAACACAAGGCAATTCAAAGTGCTTTACAAAAATGAAAGACATTAATATTAAGAAACATATTATAACATGGCATTTAAAAACACTCATTTAAAAGCAAAGATAATAAAACATGAATGACAAAAGGTACATGAATTAAAGTTACAGTGCAGTGCGAGATACACACATCTGAAATGTTTAGGTCTGACTCTCAATCATCGCTAACTTTTAAGCAGAAATAGTAATTTGACCTCACTTTCTTTCTACTTTCTTTTTTAAAGTGGACCTATCATGCTATATTTGAATAATATAGTATAGGACCATACCTATATAAGGCATATTTATACTTTTTTTTTTCAAAATACCAAACAGATCATGCATTTTAGCCATGCCTCATTTTGCTCAATTTGACATTTTTTAGCTCTGTTTTTGCAAGGGTTGATTCTGTGAGAACAGCACCATCTACAGGCCTGGCATATGTACTACAGCGTCTCCAGCGCTTTCCTCCTGATTGGTGGAGTTGGCCCAATAGCCGTAGCGCCACTGTCCTGACGTCAGGACAGTGTTCAAATCTGGATCAGTTTTTATCAGATCCGTTGCAGCCCCTTTTTTAGAGATTTGGGTATGGAGGAAAATAGAGAGGGTTGTGTTTTCTGACACTTGTTGAGTTCTCTGGAACACCGGGGACACATATTCATGTATAAAAGACGTACAAAAGTGCATTTTGCATGATAGGTCCCCTTTAACTTATCCTTTAGTTATTTCAAGTGTTTCATACTAAACGAACGCCCCTTTTGCACATTTTAATCTGCAACCCAATATTCCGAAAATTCAATGGATCCTGGCCATAGACATTGATGTGGCTTGCTAGTTTGGGACCCCATCTGTAACCCCAATACACGTAGGGGACTTTAACCATAGCATAGCATAAGACCTTGGTTTCCTTTCCCTTTCCTTTGATACCATCACTGACCTGCCAGAGTGAGGTTGCTCTGCACTGTTCCCACACTGTTGCTGACGTTCAGCGAGATATTCCCTGATAGGCTCCCGAGTGTGACCTTCAGCGTGTGATTGGTCAGCCAGGGGTAGCTTCTGGAATCCAGGATGAGGAAGTCGGAGGTGTTAGCCACCAGCTGGCCTGACTGGTCCATGAAGGTGATGGTGGCAGGCGGGTTGGACCGTACCAAGGCGAAGAGGACCAGGGAGAGCCCGGGGTCTGAGTTCTCACTGTGCTGGGCGTTCAGTCTGAGGATCTCTGGCTGAACTGGGAGATGAAGGTAACAGTAACAACTTTATTCAGTGCATCATCAGAAAAGATCTTACAAAAATATTTCCCACAGACTCACACTGGACATTGAGTGTGACCGTGGCGTTGTAGCTCTCTCCTGTCCTGGGGTTCGATGCGACACACACCAGCTCTCTGTCCCACTTCTTGGCCCGCAGAGAGAAGGTGCTGTTGAGATGGGTCCTCCGTCTCATGACCTCAGAATCCTCCTGCAGCTTCATCACCAGGCGCCTACGGGTGGGGGGTCGCTCCTTCTGCTGCTCCCCGTTCAGGTACCAGGTGAGCAGAGGAGGGGCTCGGGGATCCCAGCCGTCTGATTGGCAGTTGAACCAGTGAGTCATGTTTTCGTGCAGGGTAACAGCCGCCTGGTGCTGCCCGTCAATTTTGAGGGCAGGCTCAATTTTACCTGCGAGAACCAGATAAATGTTGGATATTTTGGATTATGTGGATAAAATAGGAAGGTGTTGGAAAAACATGACACATTTACACATTTTAACTTTTATCTGCCTGACTGAAAAGGGTGTAAAAAGTAATGTATGACTTCATACTGTATGGTATTATAGCAAATTATTGCTCTGACAAATAGGACAAGTTAAAGGGGACCTATCATGCAAAATGCACTTTTGTACGTCTTTTATACATGAATATGTGTCCCCGGTGTTCCAGGGAACTCACCAAGTGTCAGAAAACACAACCCTCTCTATTTTCCTCCATACCCAAATCTCTAAAAAAGGGGCTGCAACGGATCTGATAAAAACTGATCCAGATTTGAACACTGTCCTGACGTCAGGACGGTGGCGCTACAACTATTGGGCCAACTCCACCAATCAGGAGGAGACAGCCACGGCCATTCCCGTTCGAAAGCGCTGGAGACGCTGTAGTACATATGCCAGGCCTGTAGATGGTGCTGTTCTCACTGAATCAGCCCTTGCAAAAACAGAGCTAGAAATTGTCAAATTGAGCGAAATGAGGCATGGCTAAAATGCATGATCTGTTTGGTATTTTGAAAAAAAAAAAGTATAAATATGCCTTATATAGGTATGGTCCTACACTATATTATTCAAATATAGCATGATAGGTCCACTTTAAAGGAATAGGTTGAAATGTTGGGAAAATATACTTATTACTGGAAAAGTGTTACATGGACATATTGATACCACACCCAGATCTGAAGGTTAAATATAAAGCTACAACCAGTGTTAGCTTGGCTTAGCTCAAAGTCTTGAAGTATGGGTAAACAGCTGACATGGGTTTGCCTGAATGGAATATTGCATCTAGATGACATACTATTTCACTTTTCATCTACACAAAAAGTAAAAGAGAAAAACATGTACAGGGGGGTTAAATGCTTGGCTATTTATGGGCAACTGGGAGTATCCAGAACAGAGCCAAACTAACTGTTTTTATCTCAATGACCAAACACGATCACAACTAAAATAAGTATCCTTGAGAAAGTTACATGTGCCTTACCTGTCCATGATAAGGCCAGTGTGTGAAGGAACACGACAGCAGAGCCTGATGCCCACCTTCTCACACACTTCATTCTGGCCCAACGGAGCAGCACACACGCATACACAACTACCTGCAAGGAGGAGAAAGAACAAGAGGGCCATTACTTGTCCATAATGGGGTTCCATCGATTATCCTGAATGACCACTCAGAGACGAATATCTCAAAACATAAAAACTATCTACATGGCGTAGTTCCACTGAGGGTGCATGAGGACAAAGGTGATGGTTTGTGATTTGTGTGTATACCATTTAAAGACAAGTAAGTTGGTTATATGTCTTTTAATGCAATGCAATAAAGACACAAAAACATTACACAAGACCTTTCACAAAAAGACCTGTGATATTCCTCTCACTTTTCAATAATTCACTGCCTGGTTAGCTCTGTTTTGCAGGCTGGCCTCATCATCACTACAAAACAAAACATCCACAGCCCTGCTTGGATCGACATTGATTGCAGTGAGTGCAGGGAATGAGTAATGTGCTTGCTTGCAATCTGGGTCATGTGATATGTGCACCTCAGACGATAGCAGGAACTGAGCCATTAATAAAAACATAAATAATCCTTCACGTATGGAGACAACCAAGAATACCCTTTTTCATTATCAAAGGTGTTAGAGGTCTTTAACCTCAGGTTAAGGGAGCTGAGATTGCAATGAGAATCAATGCATGGGGCTAAACATTACATAGTAGATCTCTACATACTGCACTTGTGAGGCTGCATGCAGGCATTTCATGCAGATGTGCACACTTCAATGCAGAAAGAATGCCCTTTACAAAACAAACACAGTATTACCTCAGCCCTTTGTGCAGACGCTGTTGTGATTCAGCCTGCTGGAGCTCCATGTCAGCGGAGGAGGAGATGAGGGAGAGGGACGGATGGTGATAACAGCGAAGAGATGAGAGGCAGTCTTTCCTGACTCAGTAGCTTTCCCATTTGCGTACACTCTTACACACACACACACACACACACGCGCGGCTCTATGCAGGGCACAACAGCTCCAGTTGCAGCGTTCACTAGCTGGCAGAGGCTGTCTGACGTAGGCAGTCAGGAAGAGAAAGTGGGAAGGAAGGAGGGGGGAGAGAGAAGGAGCAAGGAACTTAGGAGATGGAGAGAAGGAGGGAGGGAATGAAGGCAGGGAGAAAGGGAAAGAAGCAGAGGATGAAGAGAGAGAGGGACAGAGGAGAGTGGGCACTGAGTCGGGAGGGAAAAAGAGACGATATGGGAGAGGAGAAGATGTACAAGCTAGAAGACAAGAGGAGAAGCTCTGTCCAAAACATCAATCTTTAATGATTTACAACACAAAATGGTGGTGGATTGAGGACAGTTAAGTGTCAGTTTAAAGGGATAAACATTAGTCCCTGTCATCAGGCATGGTAAAGTAACCCCTGATATCCAAACGCAGACACTTACAGCTCACAGTGTCTGAGATCCATTACTTCAGACTGAAAGCCCTCTGCAGTGCAGCTGCACAGACATGAGCAGCAGCATGCAGAGCACTGCAGCCAAAAGCCAGACAAAAGAAACAAGCTTATTTACTGTAGCTTGTCCTGTGTGCCACAGCAAAATGCAGGTATAAGTTTCTCTTCAGAAAATACTCATTTTAGTTTTATCCAATGCCGTCAACAAAAAACTGATATACTCCCCTGAAGAAACTCTGTTCTTAAAGGAGCACTTTACCCACAATATAACCATTTGTTTTAAATTACTCACCCCGTGTGACCTTGAATTCTTGAAGAAAGGCTTGTTTTTCTTGCATGCTTCCACGGGGAAAGAGAATCCTAAAAAGTCTTGATGAATTGAAGCAATTAGGGACGAACAGCAAAACAATATCAAAAGATCAGATTGTAAACTCTCACAATACTCTGCAGATGAATTCAAGTCTTGTTTCCAGTCGTATATTCATTACTTTCAAACGCATGCATTTTCAATACAGCTTTTGCATGATTTGCATGAATTTGCATAAAGAGACTCACACTTGTGCAGGTGTTCTACCTTGGAGGCATGCAAGAAAAACAGGATTTTCCTCAAGAATTCAACAACACACAGGGTAATTGATTTACAAAAGGGCATTTTGTGAGTAAATCATTGCTTGAAGTGGTTTGAAATCAGGTTTCGACAAGAATGTTTTGCATCTAGCAAGTAGTATGTGTAATTGTTCTATGATTTCAATCATGAATTGATGAAGCAGCAACATATTTGAGAGTTAATGCACATTGTAAACAGATACAGATAAACTGCTGACAGGACTGGTTGGTGCCTGACAAACAGGTAACTCCTGCTGCATGTATCATTTTCGTTTCACCTTTTAGTGACAACTAGGAAAACTCAAAACATTTGCTACGAAGAATGTACTCGTACTTCAGAGGAACAGTCACAGCAAAAAGAAACACACATGATCTACATTCATGTTGAAAGGGTTATTTTACATTATTATCAGAATCAGAAACAGGTTTATTGCCAGGTAGGTTCACACATACGAGGAATTTGACTTGATGTCATGGTGCAGACATCAAATATAAAACAAAAAATCTTTAAGGACACCGCAATCAAATATAGTTAAATAGCAATAAAATAAAGCAGTAATTTACATGGAAATAGAATGCTATGAATGAATTATAGGATACAAAATATGAAATATGAAACAAGAAATATGTGCAGTAAGCAGTATGAACATTGTGTGCATTAATGTAATGCATATAGAGTCTATGTTGTGGCTGAGGTAAAGTGTCAGTGGGGGGCCGGGCCTTGTTTAAGAGGCCGGTAGCGGAGGGGAAGAAACTGTTCAGGTGGCGAGAGGTTTTGGTCCTGATGGAGCGCAGCCTCCTGCCAGAGTGGAGGGGGGTGAACAGTTTGTGTCCAGGGTGGGAGGGGTCGGCCACTATCTTCCCTGCCCGCCTCAGGGTTCTGGAGGCGTGCAGGTCGTGGAGAGATGGCAGCCGATCACCTTCCCTGCAGAGCGGATGACCCGCTGCGGCCTGCCCTTTTCCTTGGCTGTGGCTGCGGCGTACCAGATGGTGATGGAGGAGGTGAGGATGGACTCTATGATGGAGGTGTAGAAGTTGACCATCATTGTCTTTGGCAGGTTGAATTTCTTCAGCTGCCTCAGGAAGAACATCCTCTGCTGGGCTTTTTTGACGAGGGAGCAGATGTTCTGCTCCCATTTGAGGTCCTGGGCGATGATGGTGCCCAGGAAGCAGAAAGATTCCACAGCAGTTACTGGGGAGTCACACGGAGTGATGGGGGCAGGTGGGGCTGCGTTCTTCCTAAAGTCCACAACCATCTCCACTGTCTTGAGAGCGTTGAGCTCCAGGTGGTTTTCCCCACACCAGGTCACCAGATGGTCCATCTCCCACCTGTAGGCAGACTCGTCCCCACCAGAGATGAGTCCGATGAGGGTGGTGTCGTCTGCGAACTTCAGGAGCTTGACAGACTGGTGACTGGAGGTGCAGCTGTTGGTGTACAGGGAGAAGAGCAGAGGGGAAAGAACGCAGCCTTGAGGGGAACCGATATTTTAGCCATTTCCATTTGGTTCGGTATACAATAAACATGTTGCGGTGATGGAAAATAGAAGGACACCACTAGGAGCTGCCAAAACTTTTACAACATTTAAAAGAGCGAACAATAAATCGATAAACCTGAAAAGAAAATGTCAGATTATGTTAGTTGCGAGTCTAGCACACAAATCAATGGCTGTTGCGAAGGTGTATAGACAGAAGCAAAGCGTTAAAATCGATTTGAAATAAAGACATGACAGGCCTAATACAGTCGTAGTAACTTTTGAAACCGCCCTATAAGCGTTTTTACAAATTACAATCCGTGCTGACGCCTTGCCTGTAGCCGGTTACACAAACACACACAAGTCATGACATTTTTAAATTATTTCTTTATTTATATATATTTATTTATCCATCCATCTCAGTTTGGTTGATATTCTTTTTAATCATTGTTGTTGCACTTTAGTATTTTTGTACTCAACAGAAATTAACATAAAAAACTAAAACGACAAAAAAAAAGGGACAAAATGAACCGATATAAAAAAAAAAAAACAATGAACCTAAGAAACAGGAGTAGAGCAGAGCTGGCTTGCTGAGGCTGGGGTGGAAAGAAAAAGAGGCAGGGGAAGGGGAGGAAGAGTTAGGACAGAAGAAAAGTGGGGGAGGAGGGTCAGAGTCATCAGGCAGAAGATAGATGTGTGTGGAGCATTATTACCCCTCTGTCGTCTGCAGTACTTTCCATTCACGCTGTCCCTTCCTGTGTGCCTCTGCTCTTTCCCTTCCCTACTCAGATCTGAAACAACAGCTCTGCTCACAATAGACAACGCAGAGTCTCTGGTCTTACATGTAGAGTTTCTATCCTGCCGTGGGACAAGAGACATGCGAAGTCTTCCATTCCAGACATTTCCTCTCCAACCCTCTCTTCCAGATCTCACTTCTGGATCAAACAATGAAAACAGGAGGATGGACCTTAAAGAGAAACTAGGGAAAACCCAGATGGAAAGGAAACGGGCCTTCTTCTGTCCAATGAGCCAGAAAAATTGTTTATTTCACTGTTAACTTCTGTATGCACTCACTTAATAGAGGTTCTGATTTACCGCTATAGCTAATTCAGTCTGCTCTGAGGGGGAGCGATTGTTCCAAACAGGAAGTGACAGCGTGCAAATGAAGAGCACAGGCGCTGCATGACACCATCTACAGCTCTCAGATGTATATAGCATTATGAAAAGTCAACCGTGCAGCCAGCTATTGTGAAACCTGGCCAGTATGAATACGTACAACAAGTGGAGCTTTATTCTTTGCCCCACAGTCTCTTGCTGGCCCAATATAGACTCAGTATATAGGAGGATAAATAGAAGTCAAACAATAAAATTAAATTTAAAAAAAGGGATAGGTTCAATCTTCTGCTGTGGTCCCCAGTGTGCTGTAGCCTCTATCTGTGGTTCCTCTGCTGTGTCCAAGTCCAAATCAAGCTATTCCTTTCCTATGGTCACCTCCGGAAATGTTTCCCGTGTAATGTTTGAAAGGTGTGTCAAGGTGTATCCATCTACAGCGAGATCCATGAAACGCAGTCATCAATTCCTCCCATCTTCCCTTCCAGGGCCGAGACGAGTCAAATAACTAAAAAAAAAGGAGGGAGAGAAGGTCGAGTGATAGTAGTTGTAGTTTCCTCCGCCGAAGTAACGAGGTGAGCCGTGTCCGTAAGGCATCGTCCAATCAGAAGCCAATGTAGTAAAAGATGGCCGGAGGATCACAGCAGATGGGTAGGGCAGCGAGAAAGAGAAGTGGGTTTGTCCATCTCCACTCGGGATGTTTAGGATGATATGTCAGCTATATTACAAGTTATTCTCTTGATTTTTTTGTCTCTTTTCGTTTCTTTGAGTGTCAAGTCTCTGTAGCACCCGAACCAACCCAGACCAAATCCAAAGCCTGACCCTGTATAGCCTGCCACAACTACCCCGTTAACAGAAAACAGGCCCAACATCAACAAGAATGACAGTCACAACAACATCGATTGAAATGATACTTTAAAAGCAACACAAAATAATTACTCTCCTCTTATTCAAGTGTCTCGATATAATAATATTAAAACAAATAAGAACAATCTTTTTTACGACACAGAAAGATCACAAGGTCTCTTCTCTCTGTCCTCTTTTGGCTAAAAATCTCAAAATTCATTAAAACAAAAAAAATAAAACATTTTTGAAGACATCCAAAAATACAAATGATAAACAATACCAATATAAAAAAAGCCTCCCCGACATCTAAAAAGAAAAAGGAAATTATTTGATACAGAAGTTGCAATAGCTTTCTATACATGGCGTCACTGTACAAGGAAAGGAGCAAATGTCTGGTAAAACTACCCACAATGCAATACACTGTCACTGACATGGGGAAGGAGGATGGAGCAAAGGGCAACCAAAGGTGGGGGGAGTCAGGAGGATTTGAAAAGCGGGGAAACAGCATGACAGAGCGAAGAGGGGGGGGCGTGGAGAGGGGGGGCGTGGAGAGGGGGGGGGGCAGACAGAGAGA